TGTGTGTGTGCGAGCGTACGTGTGGGTGCGTGTGGGTGCGTGCGGGTGCGTGTGTGTGTGCTCGTGTGTATGTCTGCGTGTGTGCGTGTGTGCGCGTGTTCGTGTGTTCGTGTGTGCGTGTGTGCGAGTGTGCGTGTGTGCCTCTGTGCCTCTGTGCGTGTGTGTGTGTGTGCATGCGTGCGTGTGTGAGTGTGTGTGTGTGCGTGTGCGCGTGCGGGTGTGCGTGTGTGCGTGTGTGCGTGTGTGCGCGTGTGCGTCTGTGCGTGTGTGCGTGTGTGCGTGTGTGCTTGTGTGCGTGCGTGTGTGCGTGCGTGCGTGTGTGCGTGTGTTCGTATGTGCGTGTGTGAGTGTGTGTGTGTGTGTTTGTGTGCGTGTGCGTGAGCGTGTGCTTGAGCGTATGCGTGTGTTTGTGTGCGTGTGTGTGTGCGTGTGTGCGTGTGTGCGTCTGTGCGCGTGTGCGTGTCAACGTGTGTGTGTGTATGTGTGTGCTTGTGTACGTGTGTGCGTGCGTGCGTGCGTGTGTGTGTGTGTGTGCGTGCGTGGATGCGTGCGTGCGTTGGTGTGGGTGGGTGTGGGTGTGGGTGTGTGTGGGTGTGTGTGGGTGAGTATGTGCGTGTGTGTGCGTGGGTGCGTGTGTGCGTGTGTGCGTGTGAGCGTACGGGCGTGTGTGCGTGTGTGCGTATGTGCGTGTGTGTGTGGCTGTGTGGGTGTGTGGGTGGGTGTGTGGGTGTGTGTGTGTGCCTCTCTGTCGGTCTGTCTATCTCTCTGTGTCTGTCTGTCTGTCTGTCTGTCTGTCTGTCTCTGTCTCTGTCTGTCTGTCTGTATGTCTGTTTGTCTGTCTGTCTGTCTGTCTATCTGTGTCTGTCTGTCTTTGTGTGTGCTTGTATGTGTGCGCACGCGCATTTAAGGTCTAGGTGACGCCACGCGCATAGCTAGACGGACGTTTTGTCAGATCAGCCTGATAAAGCGAAGGGATTTTTCTGGAGAGCAACTGCGAGAGCGTGGGTACATGCATCAGCGTCGCGCACGGACATATGGCTAGAGTCTGGAGTGCCATGCAAAAGGAACCGGCAATAGATTCATGCGATACAGATGTTCTGTTGACCGTCATTCCGCATGAGTTCGCATACTCCAGATTTCGTAATAAAAGGGAGGGGGTCTGGACCCTCCAAGACAAGCCATCTCAGACCCCCCCCCGTGGGAGAACCCTCCAAAACATCGTCCCCAGACCCCCCCATGCCCTCCAAGATAGTCTGGATGAGACCCCCCCCCGAAATGAGAACCCCCTCCCTTTATTACGAAATCTGGAGTATTCGCAGTTGACACGGCCCTGGAACCGAAACGTTGACAGGCTTGCTGAAAAGACCAGGGCTTGAGAGTAGCTCCACAGGCAGGCCTGGCGGAGACGGCCCGCAGCTGCAGCAGCAGCGGCAGCCCCAGACATCCCGCGCTCCAATTGTTTTGTCGATGCATGGGCCCCCGGAGGTCTGGTACACTTCCCTGGGCCTCCTAGATGAGGTCGGAGTAGATTCAAGGGGCCCCAGGACACACAAACAAATACACACAAATAAAAATGTTCCCCATATTTTCTTATATTTTCTGGGTTTCTGTCTTCCCCCCCACTTCCCATATTTTCCCATATTTTCCTGGGGATCGACGATTAATTGTGTCTGTGTGTTTTTTCCCTCCTGACCTAGGCCTCCTAGATGGGGTCGGGGTAGATGGGGTCGGAGGATCGCGCCGTATCGCCCATGCATCGGCGATGCGGCTCGATTTTGAACCCGATTTTGTCCATGCAAGCGTCGCCGATGCAGCGCCGACGTCGCCAGTGCATCGCCGATGCATCTCCGATGCATCGGCGGATGCATCGCCGATGCATCGCGGAGGCGGCGAAATCCTCCGACCCCATCTGCTCCGACCCCATCTGGGAGGCCACTGATTATCGCAAGAGCCAGCGAAACGGTAATTCTGGGCCCGTCTTTCACCCTGAGTCGTTTTTTGTTGACGGCCCCGGGGCCCGCTGAGCAGGGGAACGAAAAGTGACATGAACATAAAAACTCGGAGGTCCGCGCGGATTCCTCGGATCGGCGCTGATCCGAGAAACCCGCGCGGACCTCCGAGATTCATCGGAGATGCATCGGCGATGCACTGGCGACGTCGGCGCTGCATCGGCGACGCTTGCATGGACAAAATCGGGTTCAAAATCGAGCCGCATCGCCGACGCATCGGCGATACGGCGCGATCCTCCGACCCCATCTCCCTCCTCCCTCCTCCCTTCTCCCCTCCTCCTCTCCTCCTCCTCCTCCTCCTCCTCCTCTCCTCCTCCTCCTCCTCCTCCTCCTCCTCCCTCCTCCTCCTCCTCCTCCCTGGAGGCCTAGGGAAGTGTGCCAGACCCCCGGGGCCCGCTGAGGGCCCCCGGGAGGCCGACTGTGGCTCCAGATTGGCTGCTCCAAACTTTTTTGTTGTCGGACCAGCGGCTCTCTCCGGGGCCGCCTGCGTAAGGCTCCGGCCCACCGCTTTAGGGCAATTCGTCCTTGCGCGGCCCGCCCTGGCTGGACACGCCGCGGGCGCTCTCGCCCGCGGCCGCCGACGGAAAGCCTCCGGGGCCGCAGGGGCCGCGGCAGCCACAGCAGCCGCAGCGCAGCGGCAGCGGCCAGCGGCAGCGCGCGAGGTCCTTGGTGCTCTCCGTCTTGCCCGTGCCGGCGGGGCCGGCGGGGGCACAGCCCATGCAGAGGTGCAGGGCCTGGCAGCCCGCCGTCGCAGTCGTCGTCGTCGTCGTCGTCGTCGTCGTCGTCGTCGTCGTCGTCGTCGTCGTCGTCGTCGTCGTCGTCGTCGTCGTCGTCGTCGTCGTCGTCGTCGTCGTCGTCGTCGTCGTCGTCGTCGTCGTCGTCGTCGTCGTCGTCGTCGTCGTCGTCGTCGTCGTCGTCGTCGTCGTCGTCGTCGTCGTCGTCGTCGTCGCCGAGGGCGCGGGGGGGGGGGACGGGCCGGGAGGCGCAGGCTGGGCGCGCGGGCCCCCCGTGTCGCGGCATGCCCCCCTCCCGCCCATCAGCGCCCATGGCGCTAGTTGTAGGCCCTCTCGGGCGCAACGCCCGCTGTGGCCCAGCAGACGGGCCTCTTCTCAGAGATCCACGGCCCTCGGCACGCAGCGGGCGAGGCACTGTGGCCGCGCAGAAGAGGGGTCGACCAGAAGTGCGCCACGGGCCCGTCCATGCCTAGATTTAGGTCGGGCGTGTCCCCCGACAGGCGGATGTTGGACGAAGCATTAAAAACAGCCGAACAAATATTCCAAAGTGCCCAAAAAAACGACACTCGCAAAATCGTCCCCTGACTATTTTTAAACTATTCGTGAACATTCCTCCTGTAGGGGGACAGGCCCGACTTAACGCGACTTGGGTAAATATTTCCGTCCGCCGAACCGGGAGCTGGTTCGGGCGTTGATCCCCGAAGCGGATCTGCAGTGCTCGACTCCTCGTCTGCTGCAAGGAGGGAGAGCGGGGCCGAACGGATCCAGCCAGCGAGCCAAACAAAAAGGGGTCGGGCGGCGCCCGGGCTGCAGGGCGGGGCGCACGAGCGATAAGCGCAACGCAAGGAACAGGCACAAGGTAACAGGAGAGGGAGCAGGAAGAGAAGGATGGAAGCGGCAGAGGAGGGGGTTGAACGAAGCCGGGGAGGAGAAGGGCGAACATGGATGACCAAGAGAAGAGGCAGCCGAGAAAGAGGAACAGAGGGCATGGAGCAGAGAAGCGGGAGAGGCCATAGAGCACAGAAGGGGGAGAGGGAGAGTGGAGGTGAAGGAGGGAACTGAGGGCGAGAAGCCCGCGGAGAAGGAAGGGGGTGAGGACGAGCAAGAAAATGAGGAAAGCAGGAGGAGGAGGAGGAGGAGGAGGAGGAGGAACGCGCAGGAGGATATGGGGGGACGAAGAACGAGGAGGGGGACAACTACGACGATCTCCCCCTCCGACAGAGCGCGTGCTGTGGTCGCTTGAAGGGGGGAGGGTTTGGAGCCACCCCTCCCCTGCTTCTCCTCTCTCCCTCCCCTCGGGCCGGCGCCTGCGTCGGCGGCGGCTGGCGGCGGCGGCGGCGGGAACAACGACTTCCTTTTCTGGGCCGGCACCGGCGCCTGCGGCGGCGGGCGGCGGCGGGCGGCGGGGAGCGTCGACGAGGACGACGGCGACGACAATGACGACGACGACGACGTTCCACCACCGTGCCTGGGTTTTGGGTCACAAACCTCATGGATGCGTTTTTGGGGTCTCGTAGGAGGGCTCTCGGGAACCTCTGAAGGGCATTTGTGCGGCCTGCTGGGCGCCTCTTGGGCGTCTCTTGGGGCCTCTCTGAGGTGGTGGTGATGGTGGTGGTGGTGGTCGTGGTGGTGGTGGTGGTGTGGGCTGTGGTCGTGGTGGTGGTGGTCGTTGTTGCGGTGGTGGTGGTTGTGGCGGTGGTGGTGGTGGAGGTGGTGGTGGTGGTGGTGGTGGTGGTGGTGGTGGTGGTGGTGGTGGTGGTGGTGGTGTGGTTGGTGGTGGTGGTGGTTGTTGTGGTGGTTGTGGTGGCAGGTTGTGGTGGTTGTTGTGGCGGTGGTGGTGTGGGTGGTGCGGTGGTTTCTGGTGGTGTGGTGGTAGTGGTGGTGGTGGTGGTGGTGGTGTGGTGGTTTGTCGTGGTGGTTGTGGTGGTGGTGGTTTGGTGGTGGTTGTGGTGGTGGTTTGTGGTGGTGGTGGTGTGGTGGTGGTGGTGGTGGTGGTGGTGGTGGTGGTGGTGGTGGTGGTGGTGGTGGTGGTGTGTGGTGGGGGTGGTGGTGGTCGTGGTGGTGGTGGTGGTGTTGTGGTGGTGGTGGTGGGTGGTGGGTTTTTGTGGTGGTGGTGGTGGTGGTGGTGGTGGTGGTGGTGGTGGTGGTGGTGGTGGTGTGGGGTGGTGGTTTGGGTGGCGATTGTGGCGGTTGTGATGGTGGTGGTGGCTGTGGTGGTGGTGGTTGTGTGGTGGGTCGGTGGTGGTGGTGGCTTGAGGTGGTGGTGGTGGTGGTGATAGTAGTGGTGGTGGTGGTAGTGGTGGTAATCGCCGCTGCGTCCCCGCCGTCGGCGCTGCTGGCGGCCGCCAGCGTCGGCGCCAGCGCCGGGGCCAGGGGGGGGGGGTTTGGAACCCCTCCCCCTTGGGCTGCTTCTGGTCATCGTCGCTGCGTCCCCGCCGTCGGCGCTGCTGGCGGCCGCCAGCGCCAGCGCCGGCGCCGGGGCGGGGTGGTTTTGAAACCCCACCCCGTGGGAGAGGGGCGGGGGGTTCGGTTCGGGAGGGGGGAGGGATTAGGGAGGGGAGTCCCCCTGGTTCTGATCGACGGCGCCGAGTGGGGGGGGGGGGGGGGGGGCACCCCCCGGTTCGAAACGCGCCGCCGAATGCTCCCAAGGCCAGCGCCCGTGAAACGCGCTCTCTCCCCACTCGGAATCAAGACGCAAAGCCCTGGCAGGCATCGAGGCTCTCGCCAGGCCAGCTTGTGGGGCCCCCGGAAGTACAGGCACATCGTCAAGGGAGAGGAGCGAGAAGTACTCGTCAGTGATTGCAGCGGGGGTCCGTACGCGCCGAGCTTCTGTTTGCTGTGCATACGGCATGTTTCCCCCCCCCTTCCCCCCCCAGAAGCCTGCGTCGCCGTGACATAGATCCGGTCCGTGAGCGGGGTCACGACGAGCCGTCCTCCGTTGCCGAGGTACTCGTAGGCATACTCCAGCGTGGCGTCGCAGATGCACATCCGGGCGTTGCTGCCCTCATCCTGGGCTCGGCGAGGGTTCCCAAGCCAGTACGGTTTGAGAGGGCCAAATGAGGCCAGCGACTGCCCTGAGAGTCTGATCTGTGTGTCGCCAGTAGGCAGACACACACACACACACATCAAGGTTGAACACTGCAATGTCGGCACGAACGCGTACACTGGTCGTGTGCAACATGAATACAGAGAACAGACAGCAGTGGTAGGATTCAGGAGCACATGGAAGAGGATGGGGAGGAGAGAGGGGGAAGAATGAGGGGAAGTATGGGGATGAGTAAGGGGAGAGGATAGAGAAAGAACACGACTAGGAGGAGGAGAAGGAGGAGGAGGAGGAGGGAGCAGTAGGAGGGAGGATGGACGAGGGAGCAGGCAGCGTGGTGCCACGAGCAGAAGGAGGGAGGAGGGTGGAGAGGGTAGTAAGAGCAGTCGGAGAGAAAAGAGAGGAGGAAGGGAGGAAGGGAGGGAGGGAAGAAGACATTCCGTTTGCGCCAGTGCCCCCGTCAGACTCTGCACAACAGCCTCGGCGAAGGGATGTCGGACACCGCTCAGATTGGGCTTGATGTTGGGGGGGGGGGGGGCATTACCGCGAACGGTGCAGGCCGCGGTGCTCACCTGGATGGCAGGGTTGGCACACGAGCCCAGCGATGGATCGCGCTGGTCATTCCCCTTTTCCCTCGGGAGGGGCCGCCTCGTACGGGACTGGGGACAGAGGATGGCCCAGCTACAGTCGGGCCGTTGACCTAAGGAACCCTGAATAAGGAACGAAGCCCCTTTTTGTCATAAGTTACCCTTCGACTTCCCACCAAAAACTTCAGGATAACATTGGGCAAAGTGTGGAACAATTAAGGAACACCGAGCCCCTCCCCAACGAAAAGGGTTCCTTCTTCAGCGCCCCGACTGCATGCGGCCACGCCGAGGCCGAGAGAAAACGGGAGAGTGGCCAAAAGAGAACTGCCTCGCCGAGCGGCAAAGGGCCTCGAGAGCGCCCGTGCCCGTGGCAGCCCGGGACAGACTGCGCGAGGTCGCCGGCGCGGGCCAGCAGCAGGAGCCAAGGTGGAGGAGGGCCCGGAGGTGGGCTGCGCACGGCGCGGAGGGTGCCCGGAGTCCTCTCTGCAGCGCTCGCTTCCGGCAGGGCCCTCAGCTATAGAGTCCTCCCAGAAGTGGGGCCCGGGCAGACGGGGGTCGGAGGATCTCGCCGCATCGCCGATGCATCGCCGAGGCATCGGCAGTGCACGGGCGACGTCGGTCCTGCCTCGGCGACGCCGGCGCGGAGAAAGTTGGGCCCCACCTCGAGCCGCATCGCCGACGCATCGCCGACGCACCGGCGACGCGGCGCGACCCTCCGCCCCCGCCTGCTCCGAACCCGTCTGGGAGAGGCCTACAGTCGGGGCGTTGACCTGAGGAACCTTACATCAGGAACGAGGCCCCTTGGTCCCAAAAGTTGAGCTTGGCTTTCCCATCGAAAACCTCGGGAAGACCCAAGCCAAACTGCAAAACGATCAAGGAGCACCGAGCCCCTCCCCAACGAGAAGGGTTCCTTCTTCAGCGCCCGGACTGTATGCCTAGAGGCCTCCTGGATGGGGTCCGAGTAGATGGGGTCGGAGGATCTCGCCGCATCGCCGATGCATCGGCGATGCATCGCCGATGCATCGGTGATGCATGGGCCATTCACTGGCGACGTCGGCGGTACGTCCGCGACGTCGGCGTGCGGAAAAATTGACCACGCATCGAGCCGCATTGCCGATGCATCGCCGATGCATCGGCGATGCGGCGCGATCCTCCGCCCCCGCCTGCTCCGACCCCATCTAGGAGGCCTAGAATGCCTCCCATGGGGGCGCCCTCGGAGGGTCGCCCACGGAGACCTAAAAACCTAAGAAGCCGAGCGAAACGGCCTAAAACCAAGACGTAGAATAGCTTCGGGATAGGTTTTTCAGTCGGGTGCTATCTTTTAGCCCTCCTGGAAGGTCAGGGCATGGGCCCCCCACCGCGGGCCTGCGCCCACGCGCTCTCCGGCCGCTGGCCACGCGGCGGGGCGGCGCGGCCGGCGCCTCCGGCGCAGGCCTGCCACGGCCACGAAGCATCAGGCGGGGCAGATCCTCCCACGGGCGGATGTTGGACGTGAAACACACAAAAGCTACCCCCCAAAAAATACCCCCCAAAAATGCTCCAAAGGTCATGGACGAATCGTCCCCTGTAGCAGTTTCTGGGCTCCTTGGGCGCCTTCCTGCTGTGGAGGGAGAGGCCCGACGCCAACGGAGCGCGCTCGGGGCCCAGGCGGCCCGACGCTTCGGGCGTTGGCAGAACTGGGTTTTGTTGACTACCTACCAGACCACCCCAACCCAACCCGAAGACCCGAATTTCGGGTTGGGGGGGTAAGGGTTCCACATGTGTTTTTTCGACGTTTCCCGACCCCCCCCCACTGGAAATGGAGGGCAAATTGAGGCCTTCGGGTTGGGTTGGGGTGGTTTGGTGGGTGGTGATTAGTGGAACCTGGTTCAGTGAGTTGTACACCCTGCGAAATGCTTAAGAAATCATGGGTTAAGAAATTCATAGTCACAGAACTTGAATAAAAACCCAACGTGTCTATCAAAATCTTCAGATTTACACTGAAACGTCAAGAATAATCGAGACTCTGGCCGAATACTTAAGTTTTCTTAAGTATCGCCTAAGGTGTACCGGGGGCGCCCCCCCGTCCCATCTCCACTCACCGGAGCTGCCGTCACCCGAAAAACACCAGGTACGGCAAGCCTGGTTTCGTGGATCTGGCCAATGGAGGGGCCCCAAGGCTCCACCACTAACCCGGTCCCCTTACGCGGGCTCCTGGCTATTAAAACAAGGCTAGGATCGGGATAAATCGCTCCAGAGCGTTCCGGAGCGCTCTCAGAGCGTTCCGGAACGCTCTGGAGCGGCCGCGGCGCCCAATACATCCTCCAAACCCGCCGATTCTCAGAGATTTCGAGTTATCCCGATCCGATTTTGCCCCGATCTTCGCGTCGCTTTAGCTATACCCGAACGATACCCACTCCGCCGGGCCGCTCCCTCGCTCCCGCCGGCCGCCCTGAGGCGTGGCCTACGCGCGGGCACGGGCCGCCCCCAGGCACCGCCGCCTGCGGCCTCCTCTTCTCCCCGCTTCGAGCCTCTCGAGGGGAGCCGCCCGCGCGCACCCCACCCGCCCGACGCGCGCGCTCCAGCACCCCAGGAGGAGACGAGCGTCCAGAAGTGGAGAAGGGGGAGGGGGAGGGGGAGGAGGAGGAGGAGGAGGAGGAGGAGGAGGAGGAGGAGGAGGAGGAGGAGGAGGAGGAGGGGAGGAGGAGGAGGAGGAGGAGGAGGAGGAGGAGGAGGAGGAGGAGGAGGAGGAGGCGGAGGAGGAGGAGGAGGAGGAGGAGGAGGAGGAGGAGGAGGAGGAGGAGGAGGAGGAGAGGAGGAGGAGGAGGGAGGAGGAGGAGGAGGGGAGGAGGAGGAGGAGGAGGAGGAGGAGGAGGAGGAGGAGGAGGAGGAGGAGGGGGAGGGAGGAGGAGGAGGAGGAGGAGGAGGAGGAGGAGGAGGATGGGGAGGGGAGGAGGAGGAGGAGGAGGGAGGAGGAGGAGGAGGAGGAGGAGGAGGGGAGAGGAGAGGAGGAGGAGGAGGAGGAGGAAGAGGAAGAGGAGGAGGAGGAGAGGAGGAGGAGGAGGAGGAGGAGGAGGAGGATAGGAGGAGGAGTAGGAGGAGGAGGGGAGGAGGAGGAGGAGGAGGGCACGTAGCTTGAATCCGAGGAGGAGGAGGAGGGAGGAGGAGGAGGTGGAGGAGGAGGAGGAGGACAGGAGGAAGAGCAGGATAAGGAGGAGGAGGAGGAGGAGGAGGAGGAGGAGGGGCACGTAGCTTGAGGCGGAGGAGGAGGAGGAGGAGGAGGAGGAGGCGGAGGAGGAGGATAGGAGGAGGAGGAGGAGGAGGAGGAGGAGGAGGAGGAGGAGGAGAGCCGGCACGGAGCGAGCTCACAAGCGACGAGCCTGTGCACGCTCCTGCACTCGCAGCGTCGACGCCGAGGCGCGACCCCGTGGATGCGCGATCCCCTTCCGCAGTGGGGCATCCGGGCAACGCCACCCTGTGGGAAAAAACAAAAACACGTGGAACAAAAAACAAACAAACAAAAACACACACACACACGATGGGACACAACACACTGTGTGTGTTTCCCCCCCCCCCACGGGGTCGCAGCCGAAAAGTCCAGACCGCGAGGCAGTGGATATGGACGTGCTTCCGCCAGCGAGGTGGGCCGAGTCGCGGGGTGAGCTAGCCAACGCTGTGAGGCCGACGATGCAGGGAGACTCACTCTTCTTGTTTCTGAAGCTGTTTGTGATGTGTCCGCGTGTTTGTGCATGTGTGCGTGCATGTGTGTGTGTGTGTGTTTGTGTGTGCATGTATGTGCATGTGTTGTGCGTGTGTGTGTTTATGTGAAAACACTAGGCCGAAGGGCATAACTTGCAACATTGGTCATAGCCACAAACTGACTCCAGTGGTTCGGTCTCGCGCGCTGCCCCGATGCCGGTAGCACGATGCTCGTGGCTCTTGCCCGATGCCAGAAGCCCTGACGCGGTCGCCTCCGCGTGCTCAGCGCGTGTTCTCCCGGCAGCTCCCCTCCCGCCCGCATCGCCTCCCTTGCACCCCCAGGCCTTCGGCGCCGGCGGTCACGTGGGGCGACTCCTGTCTTGACTCTCGGGCGTGGCTGCCAGGCCCACCAGCTCCGACTTGGACGGGGACGGCTGCTCGGAAAGTGCCACGGGATGCCGGGAAGCGGGTGTCCGCGGTGCGGCGCGGCAGCAGCGTGGGCGGCAGCAGCTCCTGCCAGCCCCGCCGGGCCATCTTCGACGCGGGAAGCGGGGCACCCGCCACCGCTCCGAGCGGCACGCCGAGGCGCGTCAGAGTGCGTGCTGGAGCTGTAGTGGGCGAGTGCTCTGCCGTTCTCCCGCCCCCGCCCCACCCCCACCCCTCACCCACTCCCCCAGGAGCGCACCGAGATGACATCTAAA